CCCTCCCCCCCCCCCCCCCCCCCAGCCGATAACCGGACCCGGGAGACCAGCTGCTGGGGAACAGCTTCCCTTTCACAGGCACTTCCCAACCCACCCGGGAGCCCAAGGACACAGGGCCAGGGGCCATAGAGAGGCCTGAAGATGGGAGAGCCAGCAGCAGGCAAAGGAGGCAGGAGAGTGGGTGCTGCCCCCCCGCCCAGGCTGGCCAGAACCACCCCCTTTCCTCCGTCCTGTACCTGCAGCTCCAGCGCTGGGCCAGTTCCTCGCTTACCTCCCACGGATAAGAAGAGCAGGGCGGAGCTGACACCAGCCGATCTGCTGTTAAACCTCTGCTCCTGGTGGCGGATGCCGCCGATCACCATGCACAAGCCCTAGAAAGGCACAGAGGAAGCGCGTGCATCACCCTCCCAGGTGGTGTGCTGTCTGCACGGCAGCCCGGCTAGCTAGGGGACTCCCCCCCCACGGCCCTGCAGGCCACTCAGTCGTGCAACCCATGCGTGTGAGCAGCAGCGGCCGCTTCCAAGAGGAAAGGTCGGACCAAGTCCGAAGGGGCCACGACCCGAAGCTGCCTGCTCCCAGGGACCGTGTCGACGGCCGAGCCTGGAGCACCGCCCCGGGCCACGCGCCTCCGGCCAGACTCACTGGTATGAAGAGGACGCAGCCCAAGAGGGTTCCCGTCAAAGCCGACTTCACGATCTCCTCGTAACACTTGTTCCCCTCCCGGGAGCCTTTGATCAGCGCCGTGATGTAGAAGGTCAGCTCGATGATGGAGCCGAAGGAGGCGTTCACCACCGCCCCCACCGCGAAGTTGCTCTGAGCTGAAATACTAAGGCACACGGGACTGGTATGAAGAGGACGCAGCCCAAGAGGGTTCCCGTCAAAGCCGACTTCACGATCTCCTCGTAACACTTGTTCCCCTCCCGGGAGCCTTTGATCAGCGCCGTGATGTAGAAGGTCAGCTCGATGATGGAGCCGAAGGAGGCGTTCACCACCGCCCCCACCGCGAAGTTGCTCTGAGCTGAAATACTAAGGCACACGGGGGTTAGTTTGCGCAGGGAGATCGGGGACAGCACCAGGGTGGAGCCAGCAGGCATAGGAGAATTCCTGAGACAGGCTCAATCTTCTACACTTGAGCCCGCCACTGGGCTCCAGCCCTCAAAAGGGTCTCTCCTAGGGCAACCAGGATGGCGCGGTGCTCTCCAGATCTTTGCACGGCACTCAGCCCAGAGGGGGAAACCCATGAGCTGGCCAAGAGCTGCCGGACGCGGGCGAGGTCTCTGGGACTCCCTGCCCTGCCACTGGGGGCCCTGCGCTATCAGAGGCGCTGCCTCACCTGCAGCAGACTGAGGGTCCTTCCCTTCTAGCGCTGCCTGCAGGGCTATTGCGGGAGCAGGGGCACATTCGGGTCGAGGGGGCCTGGGCCAGAACAAAATGGGGGGGGGGGCTCCTTCTGCCCAGTCCACCCCACCTTGCACTCCAGCTGGGCTGTGGGGCGAGCTCCCGGTGCGTCCTGGCTGGAGCGCTGACTAGGAGGGGGACAGAGCCAGGTACGCCCTCTGTATCCTGACCCCCCTCTGCAGCAGGAGCACCAGGCAGAACAGGTCTGGGTGCAGGGGGCCTCTTTTGCCAGGGCCCCCAGACTGGCCTGGCCTCTGGGCACGGGCCTTGCTGGCCAGGGGCTAATCCACCACCGCACAGGAGGGCTGCACAGTCCAGGAGGCGGCAGGGCCTGGCTAGCGCGCGAGGCGCCAGCGACACTCCGGAGTCCAAGAATCCCATGTGGCGTTCGTGCTGCAG